AGCGGCATATAGCCAAACCAGCTGGCAAAAGTGTTCATACAGCTCTGCCGCTGGGCAAAATGATCGGGGTCAGCCCAGCGGGAAGCCCTGGAAGTCTGGATGGAGAGAAAGGAAACAATAAGTCATAGTGTCACCCAAGCTGTGTAAATGGCAGGAGGTGCAGTGGTAATGACATGGTAGTATGAAGTGATGCCAGGACCGTATCACCTTGCTCTAAAACTTGAATATTCGGCTGAGATTTGGCAAACAATGTACATACTTGGTAGCTACCCTTCAAGTCGCATGGAATAAATCTGACCTCAGTAACAGCTGGTCAGCTGGCTGGCCCTTGCGAATAATGAAAACACAAAGTCTATTGGTTGCTGATGGTTATCAGACAGCATACGGAGCAGAAATAAGTCTGGGCAAACCACCTGAAACTTGTCAAGGGATTAGTCTTGAATATATTTTTTATTTCAGCCCAAAGTACAATATATTTTTGATAGAAGAAAATAAACCTTTTCTGTTTTCTTTTCAGTGCATGCTCATTTTCCAACGAGTGTGCAAACACTTGAGCTAGAGGTACAAATCCCAAGCCATAGTTTTAAACACACAGGCTTAGTGTGCACACACCACAGTGTGACAGCTGCAAACTGGCTGAGGTCCTCACAAACTCAGGGCCCAATCTAGCTGCCACTAGTGTTCATGCAAGCTGGGTGGGATCACAAATGCTTCATCCTGGAAGCTGCTGCTGGAGTCAATTTGCTTGGAAATTCTGAGCTGGGGAACACCTGACAGGGGTCAGCGTTCAAGATGAATGTTTTGAAAGTATTGTAGGTCCAGGGTCCATTGATTGGGCCCAATCAAAGAGTGTCCACAGGAATAGTGCAACAGATATTATCCGATTTCAGCTCGACTCCTAACATACATTACCTTATTCATACCTATAAGTATTAGCATGATTGGAGTTTCTGAACATTGCCTAAAAACAAATTCACACTACAGGAACTCAGAGTTCACGATGGAGGAGCCAATATAATACACAGAGAGGCCAGGAAAGGGAATCATAGAAGCCTTTTTATTATATCCAGCCTTCTGCTAGTTACAGTACTTAACCTGAATATAAAAACCACATTTTGTGTTTACCCAAAATACTAATGGGCTAATTTTCAAAAGTTCTAAGCATCCACAATTCCTTTTAAATCCTGTAGAAGCTGTAGGCACTCAGCATCTCTGAAAAATCAGACCCTAAAAGCTTTGAAGGAGCTATTATTCTGTATTTGGAAAATAATGCACCTGAGCTATATGAAAAAAACACTCTCAATCCAAAACAATTATTTAAAACAAGCTATAAGTGCTCAGAAAGTGCCATTACAGTCTGTCTTGTGCCATATTTCTACAGCATTTTACTTATGTTTGCACTGCCATTTAAAAAAACCCATAAATTCGTCTCAAATTGTGCTCATTAAAACGTTAAGGAAGTGATAAAATCAGGAAATTTCAAGTGAAGGCTAAGAATTGATCTGTACCACAGGCTGGACTAGTTCAGCTCAAATGATAGGTTATAATGTGCACTGATCTCAGACTCTTGATTATACACAGTCACGACAGGGCAAGCCAGCAACAGGGTGCTGAAGGATTCTAGGAGACATTTCAGCCCTCACCATTGAATTTCCAATATGACCGTTAATCTGTGTCACAGCATTAAGGGCCAGATATTTTAATTTTTTATTTATCTTTCAAACAATCATGAATATGGCCCATTACATTCCCCAGAGCTGCAGGAACAACTCATTTTAAGAAAGCTGTTGTTCTTGGTTCACACAAGACACAAGCCTCTGAACAAGACAAGTCTGTGCGCAGTCCTAAG